CCGGGATTGCTCCAACCTGGTTCAGCATGTTGCGGAGGGGCTGGCAGGGGTAAAAGGGTGCTCCAGTGTGGGGCTAGGCAGCAGACAGCACCCATACTGAAGCACCGTCATGCCCCAGCCAGCCGCATGAGCGTGAAGTACTGTGGAGTAAAAAACTCTGCAGCAGGGTAGTACTTGCATATTTACCTGTAATAAACTCTTGCTGTAGAGTTGATTAATTTACTCCAGGCTAATAGTCCTGCATGTGCAGATGCTGAGATATTTGCTGCAGAGCTAATCAGACAACTCCACAGTAAACATCTCGTGTAAACACAGGCACTGGGTGAGGTTGGGATGCTTGCTCCTGTAATAATTAAAAAGGATGAAATGTACCTGCGACAAATTTATAATCCAAATCAGACAAAGACGAAGTAGTCAAAGCAGCCTATTCTACTGGGCTGTTAAAGTGGTATGAGTAACATTGATCCCTATCATTAAGCACTGAGAATACAGTGATGCAGTCGCGATGCTTCATTTGAGTTTTAATTGTTTCTATCTCATGTATTAGTCATCCTCCAATCAGATTTGAAAAAAACTACAATAAACATACTTTCTGGTTTTCAGAAATTATTTCTTATCTGTGTAAATAATCCCTGGATTATTTATGCAGTAAGAAAGAATGTGCCCCCACCCCTGTGCACATGCCCTGGCTTAAATAAGTAATAGTTTTATTGTGAATACAGGAGTTAAACTAGAATATCTGCCAGCTCCCTTGCATTAGAGAGGAGAGGGTCTAGTGGGCATGACTAAAATAATCATGGCTAGGGGTGCCCAGTACATTTGAAAGTTTGCACTAGACAAAACACCCCATGAGTGATGGGGTCACTTGGGGAAAGAAGACTGATATAGATGAAGCAGCAACCACAGAGTGGCTACATCCCTACTACATACTTTGATTTTGAGTCTGAAGGTGAGATTCTGTCAACATTCCTTCCTTTTCTCCCTCCTGCTACCTCCAATGTCTTCTGCAGCTTTACATTTAGGCAATTTACTCAAGCTGTGCTAAGGTGCCAAGAACAAATTACAAGGCCATAATAAACAATTAGCAGCTAATCTCACAACACCCAGCAAAACACAAACCTTGTTGACTTCGCAATGAACTTTCCATTCTTAACTCTGATCGAAACCCTTTCTCAGCAGTAGTTCCAGGTAGTACAGAGGTCTTTCTTGCTGTGTGGCCTTAAGGTTGATAGACCCAAGATATTTCACATCACAGATGGTAAATCCCCAAAGGTGGGGAGAATGTTGTATGGCCACATCTCTTGGAGGGTTTTTGTTTTGTTTTTTTTTTTAAATGAGGAGGAACACAGCTTGAGTGTATGTACAGTTTGAATTTGTGGCAATGTGGAATGAGGAGACTGTTGGAATGTCCTAATAAATTCTCATTGGAGTTAATTATCCTGGGCACTACTTTGCTAGTACAGTTATACTGCTTCTGATGCAAGAGTGACCATATAAAGAACTAGTACAAAATATATTTGCATGGTGCAGCCTTATGCCATATAAACATATTCACAGAACCTTATCAGGCAAAACCAGCACATTAAAGCCCATACAGAAATTGGCAGTCAACCAGTGCAGATGACTAGTCTCATAAAAATTGTTGCTCCACCTAGATTTTTTAAAGGTATAGCCCCACGCAGATTTCATTGCATTAATACAATTCTGATGTGCTAAGTAGCATCCATATTTAACTTTAATTCAATTTTACATGCTGAATAGAATATGACTGTTGTAAATCTCATCGTAGATTCAAGAATCACTGTAAATGTTGAACTTGTATGTCAAATACATTTTTTTTCTAGCTTGATTTTTCACTCTCAGGCATAAGTTTGTTATGGAGTAAAGTGACCAAGATTGACTCATGGTTCAGTTGTAAGTGCTTAAGCATAATGGGAGTCTTTGCACATGCTCTGGGGTGGGTAGGGAGGGTACTTTAATTGGAGGGGCTCTTGAGAAGTTCTCTAATTAAAACCACCACAATGTGACATGTATTCAGCATCCTACACTTCAAAATGGTGGTGGGGGCACTTTAACTAAATCTCATTTTACAAGCATTAACATTTTGAAATGTGAGGTTGCTAATTAGAATCCATCAGAGTGAGCATCGGAAATGTGTATAGTTACCCAATATTTTTAAGTTTACATTCAAACTGATTTTTATGTACACTGCCAAGCTCTGTATATGGTTGCCAGAGTAACCTGAGTTGGGAACCCACTATTCTTATTTACAAAAAAACAAAACAAACAAAAAACAACCCCCCCCACCCAAAACATAATAGCATTCATTTTTTGTTTTTTTTGCTACTATGCTAGCACTAGAGATAGCAGGTATACACTAGTGTTCCACTCAGCCAGGTTCTGTACAAACATGGAATGAAAAGCCATTCCTTGTCCCCAAGAGCTTGCAACTGAAGGCTAGGATGAAAAATGTATATAGATAGATAGGCAAGCACAAAAAAATATGAAATCATACTGGGTTGCACAATACATAGTGGTTTCTCCGCACTAGCTGTCTCACCGTCAGATTTTTGTAAGTATCACAGCCAAGAAGACCTTTAAAGAGAGATTTAAATGAGAAAGCTGTGTCAATATCGACAGGGAACTTCTCCAGTGTTTGAGGAAGAGCACTTTAAAAAGAATAAAAAATATAACAAGTGAGTGCTGAAAGCTGGCATCATAGTGTGTAAGATGAACTGTAGAATGAGGAGAAATCATGACAGACATTGAAAGTGAAGATAAGTAGCTTATGTTAAATGTGATGGAAAAGGGAAAGCCCCATGAAAGGGGAGCCATATGCAGAATATACAAACCATTTGTGAAATCAATTACTTTCATGCATTTTAACAATATACAGACTATACTGTGAACAAGGAGATGTTTCAAATGGTATGTTTTCATGGGATCTGATGGTATTTCATGCTACAGTAACCTCATAAGGGACATTTCTTTCATAGCATTCTTAGTACAGGAAAAGCATGTGTTACAGTACCATTTTAAAAGGGAATGGAAAAACATGTCATCAAAGTTTGCTGAGAGAATCTCAAAAAGAACAAATTCTAACTTAATTCTTGCATTTGCTAGTGTCATTGGAGCACATGTACTCCTTCATCAGGAAGTCCTAAAACAGTAGGCGTTGTTCAAAATACAAGTTGCAGTGCCAAGGCATATTAGGGCGAAGTTAAGACCTCACACAGTCATTTTTCAGCAGCTCATATGGCATCCATATTACTTTGTGGATAATGTAATTTGTTACAATCTAATACACACCTGGGTTCACAGCTGTAGAAATCTGTTAGGTCACTTGTAGATGTCTTGTTTTTATGAGAGTCCAAAATCAGTGACACATATCTAGGTAAATGACCCAGAAGAACATGAAAACATATCATAGCTCAAGGTTTGAGCTGGTTAATATTTCATTTGACACACATTGATTTTGAGAAACATGTTTGAAGAAGCATAAGAAAGATTTTGAGGACTTCGTCTGAGTGTAGTCCTGAATACTATGGACTTTCATAAAGACACAGCAGCTTTCAAAATGTATTTCTTGACTGTCTTGTAGTCATGTAATCTATATTAATGAGAGACCCATTGAATGTTCAGGAAGAAAATTAACTCATCTGTCATCCAATGAGTATTGCAGTATTCTAAGTGCAAATGATTTTAGAAAGTGGTTAGGTATCAGCACCAAATTAAAAAAAACAAACCATAATTAAAATGGTAAGTTTTGACACCTTCTATATTATCAAATAATATTGATATCCATGTAGTGTATAAAATAGGATTCACACAGTGCTCTTAATTATGTTTAACATTCTGGCAGACTGATTGCTGTAATGTGCTAAGAATGCTTGTGACACAGACGTTCATATAACAGTTGAACTTGTTTACATAATTATTGCTGCACTTCCATTTATTAATGTGGGCATCCAGAGCTATATTAGAGAGAGAGAGAGAAATCTTGCACTTTCACATTGTAGCTCACTTTTAAATGAAAGTTTACTCTGGAGAAATCTGTGGGAATATTTGTATCATTGCATTTCACAGTTTCTCCAGTCTCAATCTCAGTACAATGAAGTGATGTATTGTGTTCAGAGCCCTCTAAAAATTAAGTATTTTTTTTATTACTTTATTAAACTTACTAAATATTATTGCTCATGGCCATAGACTTTCCTGAAAGTTATTTCTCAAAAAGAATCTTATTGTAGCCCTGGAAATCTGATCTGATTAGTCAAGTTTCATGCCTGAAGAAGGGTGTTTGTGTCTAAAGGTTTGCAAAGAACAATTTTTCCAACTATTTAGTTGGTCTAATAAAACATATCACATCTACCCAAAGAACTTTATCTGCATAAGGAGAGTTATACATATTGCAAAGTATTTCTCTTTTTATCTGTCCAGGAATAATAAGAGCAAAAACTTTACTAGCTTCTCCATCAAATGTACTTCATCCTCTATTTTTAAGACTCTCATCATTCCAGGTATGATTTTCTTTTAGTCTTGGACTAATATTCTTAGGGACTAGGACGATAACATCACATTCATTTTTGTGTGAGACTTACATCAGGATTCAAGCTTAAATCTTCAGAGGTTACAAAGCTAAGTGCATTAACTCATTGTGCTATTTAGCCACTGGTATGTTCCCTATTTAAAGACAACCAGAAGTAATTATTCCAGGATGTTGCAGCCCATTACTAATATGAGTTCTATGTACAAACTTGTAAAATAGATTTAGGGGCCGATATTTCTATGTGCACTTGATCTTGCAAATTAGGTGACGTGTCTTAATTACAGGCACTCAAAATTAGTATCTATACTAATAATGTCCTTTTCCCCCTTAGATTCATGGAGGACCTAAAGGATATGCTTGGTTTTTCTCCAAGCCAGTACTATTACTACATGTGGAAGTATATATCACCTTTAGTATTGTTATGTTTGCTGGTAGCTAGTATTGTCCAAATGGGATTAAGTCCTCCTGGTTATAATGCATGGATTGAAGATACGGTAAGCAATATTAAGGAAAACACACTGTTATCACTACCAGAAACATGGAATGTGTATTTAAAGTGATTTCACTTTGTATATGGAAAGAAAATTTAGAAAATTATGTATTTCATTACAAATATGAGAGAGAGAAGCATGGCCACTTTGATCTCAGTGGTACCAATATAAAACACACTTTTCTCTAATATGGCTTTTATTTCCAAAGAAACTCATACTGGTGGCATCTTGCCCTCATCCTTCATAGCACTCTTGGAGGATTAGGCCATGGTGGCAAAATAGGTGAGGAAATGGCTAATTTGAAAACCTGCTTCAAGGCGCTGATTGTACTAGGCCTCTGAGCAGCTCATGAAATCTGGGGTAGCTTCAGTGCTTTAGCACTGATGGAAACTTAAGCCCTAGAGAACATAGTTTCATAGTAGCTAGTGTCAGGAGGGACCTGAACAGATCATCTAGCCTGCCCCCCTGCCACAGGCACGAATGAATGCTGGGTTCACAAGACCCCAGACAGGTGATCATCCAACCTCCTATTGAATTTGCCCAAGGTAGGGGCGAGGACCACTTCCCTGGGAAGTTGGTTCCAGATTTTGGCGACCCTAACTGTAAAATATTGCCTTCTGATCTCTAACCTAAACCTATTCTCCATCAGCTTATGACCATTGTTCCTTGTCACCCCAGGTGGTGCTGGGGAGAAAAAGGCTCTACCTATTTGCTATTGATCCCCCCTGATGAGCTTGTAGGCAGCCACCAGGTCCCCCCTCAGCCTCCTCTTGCTGAGGCTGAACAGGTTCAGGTCCCTCAGTCTCTCCTCATAGGACCTGTCCTGCTGCCCTCTCACCAAGTGGGTGGCCCTCCTCTGAATCCTCTCCAGGCTGTCCACATCCCTTTTGAAGTGCGGCGTCTGGTACTGGATGCAGTACTTCAATTGCGGCCTGACCAAAGTCGCATAGAGGGGGAGTATCACCTCTCTGGACCAGTTTGAGATGCACCTTTGGATGCATGACAAGGTATGGCTGGCCTTGCTGGCTGCGGTCTGGCATTGGTGGCTCATGTTCATCTTGGAGTCAATAATGATTCCAAGATCCCTTTCCGCCTCTGTGCTTTCAAGAAGGTAACTCCCCAGCCTGTATGTATGATGCATGAACACCTTGACAGTCAGCAGAAACTGACTGGTAGTTTGGGGGATGTCATTAATGTCTAAAAGATGGACTGAAATGCTGAAGTGAAGAATAATGAAGTATTTTTTGATGATCTGGACTACTGATTTATCTTTTATTAAATACAGATGTATTAATGAATTTCTTTTCGATTGTGTAGGCTACTGATGAGTTTCAAAGCTATCCAACGTGGGGAATGATTGTCTGTATATCACTGATGGTATTGGCTATACTTCCTGTGCCTATAGTCTTTATAGTTCGTCGCTGCAACCTTATCGATGACAACTCTGGTAGTCTGGCATCCGTATCCTACAAAAGAGGTCGGATAATAAAGGAGCCTGTTAATCTAGAGGGAGATGATACAAGTCTGATTCATGGGAAGAGTCCAAGTGAGGTGCCATCTCCAAATTTTGGCAAAAACATATACCGAAAACAGACTGGATCCCCAACTCTGAATACTGCTCCTAACGGACGCTATGGTATTGGATATCTAATGGCAGATATGCCTGATATGCCTGAGTCTGACTTGTAGCTAGTGAAGAAAAATACTTTCTTTTTTGTTTATCACTGAACATTGACTCTCTTAAGGGAAGTGGCCAGCTTCACTTACTAGAGTGCGATCTCAGGTGACCCATGGCTACTGTCTTTAAAATATCCTGACAGTACACGTAGCTCGAGAATTCCCTTTGGAATGATTCTCTGGTATTTCATTTGCATTGAAGGGAATATTCAGACACCCTTAAAAACTTGATGGCCTGTGTGTGTCAGGATAGTCAAGATTTAAAAAATGTTTCTGATTTTAATTGGGAAGCTTTCTATTGCTGAAGGACATATTACCTCAGTTGTAGCAATTTCCCAGGTGATCTAATATTTCTGAGTTCCTTGGTTTTTGCCTTCAGGTTAATTCCCCAGTATTAAAAGAGAGCTCCAAAATAGATCACCAAATCCATGTTTCTGCACATACTTGTATATACATTATGTAGATATGCTGTACTTATTTTGTTAGCACTGATAATTACTTAGGCTGTTAGCTGAGTAAATAAACCTTGCCAACTATTTTCTTACATACTAGCTGTATAGAGCAATAGTATTAGAATTCTGAGGAGGAGAATTGTGAGAAGACAAGAATGATTCCCAGTTCACTGGAGACTGCATAAGCTGTGGCTGTATATTTTATGTAAAATATTTGCTTTTTCAGTGTGAAAATGATGTAAGAGTGAGTCACTCCAAGGAGTGTGCAGATTCTGCATTTTTTCTATGCTGTGTGCCTAAAAAATCTTCTTGATATTTATTGTGGTTACAAGATTACACATATATTTATATAATATACTTGTAATGTAAATATGTGTATTATATTGTATGTAATGGTTTCAAAACTTGAAGCAAAATGGCTTTTTTTAATTAGTCTCTTTCTGTTTTGCTTCTGTTTTATGCAAAGAAGAAATCCTTGGGTTTTTTTCCCCAGTTAGTAATTATTAAGAACTGTATGGCATTACATTTTAACCAATGAATAAAGCGAGTGAAAAAGGTGTTTGTTGTTTCCTGACTCATTTATTACAGTATAAAATTCTTAACTGTTAACTGGCCTGGATGGAAGAATGGAATTTGTAAATTGGAGGTTCACACTCAAAACCTCTAAAAACGAAAAAATACAACTGGGACGTCATGTGTCTTTTAAATAATTGCATCAGGAATAAAGATTTTTATTATGAACAACATTTTTGGAACACTGTAAATTTATGTGGCACATTGCAAAGGTAGATTATGGCATATCCCATGCCCTGAAGAGCTTACAAACAGATATTGATTAAATATATCGGGTTGTTCAGCCAGCTGGAAGATTTTGCTTCTATGTACATTTTGTCTGAAATGAGGCTCATGGATCATCATTATCTTATATTTTAGACCATAGGTAAAGCAACTGGCATAGTCTGAGTAGATCATTCAACTATTAAAGATATTTCTGATCAGTTAGGCTAGGGATAAAAATTACAGCAAACCCGCTCTCACAGGGTGGGCAGGCTAACCTTGTCCCAAGGTGTTTGCTCCAGCCAAACAGGGAGGTATGCTTTAGCATCCCCTTCCCTGCCCCAGCTTTTGGCCTGAGCCACTGCAAGTCTGTGACTGCATTTCAGGAATCAAAAGTGAATGGTTGTTCACTTGCTTACTGTTTCAATCTACACAATTTATCAGGGGTGGGCAATTATTTTGAGCGGAGGGCCACTTACCAAGTTTTGGCAAGCTGACGAGGTCCTCATTGGTAGCTCTGCCCCTTGACAGGTGTCCTGCCCCCTGGTTGCCATCTTGTGACTAAAAGACCTGCCTCCTAACCCCTTACCTTTGCCACCAGAAATCCCTCCCCCTGCCCCCAGAAATACTCCTTTCAGCAAGAGATTTTGCCATCTCAGAACCAGACAAATACCAAATTATATTCTAAAAAGCGAACTTCTACAACATTCATTAGTTTGATTTGAAAAAATATTTTTGTCCTGGTTTACATGTGTTTGTGTAGTGCACATACAGTTGATTGAACAATAGCTTAAAATGAAGTCTTACTATTGTATATTGTGGGGGAAGTGGGGGGCTGTTAGTGTGTGGGGTATATGGGGGAGGGTGTGAGTGTGGGATGATGGAGCATGTGGGTGGGTGTGTGGATATGTGGGGTGACGGTGGGTATGAGGGTTGTGGGGAGCTGTGTGTGGGGGAGAGGGTGGTTGGGGTGTGCAAGGGGTATGTGGGTGCATGTGTATGGTGGGGTGTGTATGGGATTTGCCCTATGAACACATACACACAGAGCCTCTGCCACACACACACACACACATACACACAGCCTCTCCTCCCTCTCCCCCCCAGTCTCTCCCACACACACAGTCTCCCCCTCCCACATTGCAGGGACACACACATGCACACACCCCAACCCCCTCCCACTCCTGGCCCTGGGGTACCTGAGTGGCCCCATGCTCCTGTGATCCATGCTGCAGCAGGGGGCCACAAGGTGCTAAAGCAGCTTGCAGGGGAGCTGTAAAAGCCATGGCAGGAAGAGACTTCCGGGTGAGGGGGACATGGGCTGGAGGAAGATGGACGGGGGCGGGCTGGCCTTTCTCTGACTAGCCGGCTTCCCCTGGGTCCTACTGTCCCTGGATCCTGTCATCTTTGACAGCATCCAGGAACAGATAAATATATATTTTCTAAATTTTTAGGGGCCTGTAGAATGACCTGGCAGGCTGCATCTGGCCCATGGGCCGTATTTTGCCTGCCCCTGACTTAAATTCATCTGCAAAGACTGAATTGATTCAGCCTACAGCTTTTTCACTGCCTGTACTTGGCCTTAATTATGTTAGTAATTGCATCCTACAGCAGAATATCAGAAGGCAGAAGAAACGTATATCAAACATAGACATATTCCAAAACCTGCCACCATCAAGCCACAGTATTCTACTATAATTTCCCGACAGACTTCCTGGGCAACTAACTGGTCAGTGTGTATATTATGCTTCCCCATCTGTGCCTAGTCTGCTGAAGAGGTGAGATTGCTACAGCTCTTGGCAAGAGAGAAAGCAGACTCTTTATTTCAGCTGTAGAGGCACATGCTTTCACTTATGGCAATCCAAGTTTAAACTCAGATATATTGGCCAAATGGTTGCTACTGCATTAACCTCTGTTAACAAGGTGTGTCAAGGACCCAAGTAGCACAGTGTAGTACTCAGCCCCAATTAAATTCCCTTCATCTGTGTTCCCTTCACAATACAAGGGTCATTTAAAACTCTCATAATCAGAATGCTGAAGACCATTCTGTCGGGAAATTGGTATTACTTCTTTGCTTTCTCTGAGGTTAACAATTGTCTGTGAACCCAGGGAACTGGACTTGATGGTAAACTATTATGTTTGCTCAATTCCAAGATGATTTAGTATGGGGAAAAAAGGTCATCATCTTGGAATTGAGTATGAGGTGGCAGGAGGTGTTGGCAGAGGTTACAGCTGTAACTGAAGCTGCACCTGTGGCTGTGGTTCCAGGCCCAACCCTGGGTTGGGGCCAAAGCCACAGCATCTGCCTTCCCTCCTGCCACCTCTGCACCTCCTGCCTTTCCTCCCCCACTGCAGTGTTGGGTCCCCATCCCCACTCTCCCCACTTTCTGCAGTGCTTCTGTCTCCCCACCCACCCCTGCTTACACATGCTCCATCACAGGCAGGCTGCATCTTCACTTAAACCTGGAGCCAGGAGCACAACCCCAGCCCAGCCCCATAGCAGCAGTTCTAGCTCTGCACCTTGTCTATGGTACAGGACTGGGGCCATGCTTCATGCCCCAGGCTGCAGCATAGATGGAGTCTGCTGGCATAGTGCAAGGGTAAGTGGGTAGAGGAGCAGGCAAGGGGCAGAGGCTTCAGGAGAGAGGTAGACAAGGCTTAGGGGGGGCAGAGAGGTTTGAAATGATGCCTATATAGCAAATGGAAACCTTTTTACAGTTTTCTTCCTTACTTCCACTATATTCACTATATAGTGGAAATAAGCATATTCCACTATATTCAGTATTCCACTGTTCTATTATATTCAGGATTTTTTTCTTCACAACTTGCCCTGCCAGAAGCGGACAAAAGAAATAGGAGCAAAATAAAAAAAAACAAGAAGGGAATAACACAAAAAGAAAGGCTTGAAACATTTATCTACCAAAGAACTTGGCAAATAAACCTGAGGGTTTCATGCCACAATTAATATGTCTGTTGATTTTGAAAATGCATCACAAAAAGCAGTCATGCCTAAAATTAAAGAAAAGCCTATTTAGCTAATTCATTTAGAAACAGACCTGGAACAAATCATCTGTGTGGAATGTTAAAATTTATTAGAACTATAATTTATTGCAAAGGCCCTGGGTATCTGATGCTAATATGCAATGTGAAGCCCGATTGCTCAGATGTAAACTCTTAGAAGTCTGTGTCAGTATCATGTAATGTTGAGCTATACAGTTTTGTGCACATCCAGTAGCTCACAAACCATGGTTTGTACAACCTCTATAGTCCCTATTCCAAGTCTTTCCTTCATACCACAGAAACTGCAATGGATACCCTACAGAAGAGAAGAGAAAAATGTTTTCAAAATGTTTTAAAAATGTTTTCCAGGCATGCATGATAATGACTCTGTAGGTAAAATATTAGCAGCCTTAACTAAAATGAACATCACCAAATTTGGAGAGAACTCTATGTTTAGCAGCTGAGGCAGTGTGTTCAGATGAATTTAAACTTATTCCCTCTTTAATACCATCTTTGAAAGTTTAACATAAATTTAGCTGTGTCCGTTTCCAAAATTCCATAAATTAAACATAAACCTTTATATGCCAGATTAAATTACATAGTGTGAACAAGCCAATGTAAAAGATGAAATGCTTAAATTGTGATGCTGAACTATTACCACTAGATGGTGCTGAGATTACAACAGTATGTTGGTGAGAGGAAATAAACATGATTCTTTTCTTGAAAGGGGAAAAAAAAATACTTTTATATTCACATTCTCTACTTAGCAGACAGAAACAACTGGCATTTCAGGATAAATTGGATTTCCATAAAATAAGAATGTAAATATCATTTCATTTTTATACTCTCAGCTGCATGCGTATGTATTTTTATTTTACATCTGAAAAAAGAAATGGACAATAAATCTATTATGCTTACAAATATAGGAACAAACTATCAATGTCTCAGTGCTGAAATAATACTCCTTCAAAATTTAGTTCAGTAACACCCAGGTAGATAAACATCTTGGTTCAATATCTTGAGTCAGTACTATTCTCATCCCATTGCATTCCAGTGATAAGAGGTCTTATTTGAAAATTTGAAATGGATAGTACAGATACCAACATACTAATTAGTGAATGCAAGAGGCCATCTTAAACTCTGTAACCAAAAAAGATGGCAGTTATTGCTTATTGATGCCTTATTTCATGAAGGCTGAAAAGAAACAATGAAGGAGATGGGCAGTGAGAAAAAGAACAATTTACATAGCGATTCAGGAAAATCATCCAGCTTGATTGATTTGCATCAAAAGACACAGTTTTAAATGTTGATATATTATGTTTTTATCTCCTACTGTCTTCCACCTTGTGCAGTCATTCACCCCTTTGGCTGGATTCCGGGAAACTGCACCTCAAGGTGCTGACAAGCAAAACCCGTGAC